AAACAAATGGACAGTTAGATATGACTCTAGAATTAAGCTACCTGTCTCTGAAGAATGTCTGAGGAATTCTAGGTCTGCCAGTCCTTGTACTAGACAGAAAATCACGTGTTTTCTGGTGTGCCGCTGTCACTCCTCCTGGAACACAATGGACAGGGTTTTGCTTCACCCTCCTATTAGATCCTGTATCTACCACAGGGCCCCTTCTGCTCAGGAGTCTCTGATTTAAAACAACTTTACCATCTGTCTCTCATCTCACTTGATTGTGCTTGTTAGAGAAATCATCCTTGCAGGGATTGGCCTTAGATCCTGGGTATTAGTAACAATGGTCTCATGGAGAAAGTTAGCATCCCGAATTCCTATCCTGGATCTGCCAAACACACCCATCCTTCTAGCCCGAGCATCCCAAATCCCTATCCTGGATCTGGCAAACACACCTGTCCTTCTAGCCTGAGTTCTAGCAAGTTCTTGTTCTCAACCTTCTACCAGTCAGATTGCTGAAAATATCTACCTGGGAGGACTAGGGAGATGGGTCAGTGATTAGAGCACTGGATGCTCTTGTAGACCTGAGGTCTGCTCCCAGCACATGCATGGCAGCTCACAATCATCTATGACTCCAGTTCCAGGGACTCCAATGCCCCCTTACGGTGGACACTAGGCATTCTTGTGGTGCACAGCTGTGCGTGCAGCCAAAATAACCAAACACATAAAAAAGTAAAAGGAAGAAAACAGCCACCTGCTTTTCAGAAAATAGCCCTGCATGATCCCCACCTGTGGGAGACAGGGCAGTATAGGCTGGGAAGAAAACAGTGGTTCGTTTCAAGCTCATCTGAATCCTATTCTCTTCTCACTCCTAGATCATTCTGAGACTCATCCTTTGCCCTTTTGTGGTCCTGTGCCTCATGCCAGTCACCATGGAACCTCTGGGAAGGCTGGTCCATGTTCCCAAGGTCTAGCTTGGGTAGTGAGCTGAATTCCAGTCCTGCTCATTGTCTTATGTGAGATTTCTGAATACACATCAAGCCCTGAGGACAGGATGTGAATGGTTCTAAGGGAAATTCAGTGTGTAGCATTCTTATGTCTGATCTGGAGGACAGGTTTAGGCAGCATTGCCATGAAGGCCGCTGCCCCAGGCTCAGCCGTGGAGGTTATTGCACCTGGAAGGACACAGCTCCATGGTGCAAGGCAGGCAGTAGGTCACTAAGGACCAGGAGAGACACTGGGCTGTGACTCCAGGTCCTAGGTCTGTATCATCAAGCTCTGCAGCCCAGCTCCCACGTAACAAGACTGTTTCTCCCACACAGTACAGACAACCCACCATGTCTGAGCACTTAGCTCCTTCTATATCTGCCTGAGTCCCCCTCTGTCTGGTTCTCCAAGGACATGGATTGGGGTGGAGGTTACAGACACCAGCATTGGCTGAAAGAGGCCTTTACAAGGATCAGAGGTCCCACACGGAGCCATGGTCTCTTTGTTGTCTGCACAGCACTGCCACCCTAGGCCACCATGACATGTGACAGCTCTAACCCAATGAAGCGTGAGGAGAGTAGCTTAAAGAGTGAACGTGAGACTCAAATAAAACTACCTGTGGAGGATAAATGGTCAAAATCTTTCAGCAGGCGACAGGCCGAGGCTGTCTGAGGGCAACAGTACTCTCATGACTCAGTGTCCCAACTACACAGGACCCCAGGAATGTGAAACCTGGAACCCAGTGAGTGCCAACCCAAGTGACCCAATCCACCTGGATATTTACCTGTGATTAACTTTTGTCCTATCCTTGCTACAACTACCTAAAAACAGAGGGCTGGAGCTAGGACACACAGTTGTTTCTGGGTTCATGGCAGACCCACCCCACAGATATCTAGGCAGACCAAGGCATCCTGGCCTAGGCCAAGCCCTTGAGGGGGCCCAGCATTGAGCTAGAAAGGGTTGGAGGGACTTCTGCCTAGAGAGGCTCAGGGAGACACAGGACACATCTGGAACTCAGGCTCAGTGAACACATGAGTGTCCAGTGGGGTTGTTCTGTGTATTGCGGTGTTGATGGATCAGGGCTCATGCAGGCTACGTGAGTACTCTTCTACTAACCTGGATCTGGCTGGAACCTGCTTAGCTGAGGTTATAACAAAGGTACTATAGCCTTCTACAAATCAGGATTTCCCCTTCCCTCTGCTGACATCACATGCGTCTTTATTCTGTCTGCTCCAGATGGTCCAGATGTCCTTGTTATGTCTCCTCAGATATTCATCTGCATCCAGTGCTAAGCCTCAGTCTCTCCTGCCACACAGCCTCTCATCCACCTGGACATTAGTCTTGGATCATCACTGGGATGCCTCAGTCACGTTCTCAAGAACTCTTAATCTCCACCCTCCCTACTCATAAAAACAGATTCTATATCTTCTTGTCTGGAATTCTGCCATTGTTATCAGTAGGACAACGGCAGAGAAATGTAAGGTTCTTGGTACTTGGATCCCTGAAATGTCAGCACTGAACTTTGGGGTGAAGCCTTGGTTTTATGAGTAGATGCAGAAGTTAATTCCCAGCCTGCACCCACGGGAACAAACAAATCCCAATCCTTCCATGAGATTCCAGCTCTGTCTCTTACTCCTCTCCTTCCACCTCTGATCTTCTGGGTGCCCTTGTATTGGTCCTGGAATGTTGTGGTTGGGGCTATTTTTCCATGTAGCAGGACCTTCCCAGGGGAAGGATGTACTTAAGGTCAACTAGGGTTTTCTTCAGTCACTAATTCATGCCATCCTGTTCTCTCCATTTGCTTTCATGGTCTCCATTCTTCATGACCCAGAAGGGTCATCTAGAACTATGAACCATGCTCATGCTCCTTTCTCCCAAATCTTCCTGGCTCCTGTCTTGTCTCAGCTGGAGATTGATTTCTGCTCTGATTCCAGTGGAGCCAGAAGACACAGGAAATAAATGTGTCTGGGAGGCCTGTCCTGAGTCAGGATGATATCAATGCTTTGAATGTTTTACTTACTGTTAAGAGTGTCAGTGGTGTACACCAGAGCATCCCTGAGCTCAGGATATGGGGAATTTGGAAAAGTGAAACTCAAGGTAGACGAGCCTGAGCTGTGTCCTGGCTTTCAGGTCCAGCTGTGAGGGGCTGCGGACACCAGCTCAAGTGGTGACTGCAGGGAAGAGAAAGGGACACTCACTTGGAGAATGAGGGTACATATTTTAGTCTCCCTGTGGAGGAGAAAGACTTAACAGTTTGAAATAGTGTCCTAGTTAGCATTTACTGACAAATTGACAAAGCCCAAAGTCACTGAGGATAGGGAGAAGAGTCTCAACTGTATAACCATCCTTATTAGTTCTGACTGTGGACATGTCTGTGAGTGATTGTCTTAACTGATGCAGGAGACCTAGGCCACTGCTAAGCATGAGTGAGAAAGCCAGCCAGTGAATGAGCCAGCCAGAATCATGTTTTTTGCTTTCATAGCCTTCCCTGCTACAAAATGACCCAGACTCAGAAAGGACATAAACCTTTTACTCTCTCCTAGAGTGCTGTTGCTCAGCGTCTTCTTTATCACACCAAGAAAAAAAGACCTGGAGCAGTGTAAGTGCAAGTGCAGATGGCACATCCATTTGAGTCAGTGTTCTATGTACTCAAGAGCAGATGCCCTCATCATCCTGTGGGCAGAGATAAGGAAGGATTGAGAGGCCAGAGATGAGCCAGTGGATAGAGGTGCAGTCCCGTCATTACTTCCTTCTCCTTTCAGTCTGAAGAGAAATGTCTCAGGAATTTCCTTTGAAATTTTCTGAGCACAAGGCACCTCCTGGGGGATGCATACTTTTTCCAGATTCAGTCCAGGTCTTCCCAGGAAGAATGTGGAACCCTGCCTAGACCTACCCTACACTAGATGGAAACTGGAGTTCTGCAGAGCACAGTGAGCAGGATGCCAGGCCCTGCCTCCTACCTGTGCTGAAGGGATCAGGGAAGGTCACATTTGATCTCTTGACCACCCCTGCCGAAGTCTTAAACATGAGACTGCAGTTCTCTCAGAGAACTCTAGGGTGGCGATATCAGGATGCCCACTCAATACTCAGACAATTGTTTCCCTGAGCCATGCTTGACCTTGGCTTGCAGACAGATTTCCATTTCTGTCTATAGGAACCTGGAGCTCACTTCTAAGATCCCGCTGTTACTTGTGTCTGAGAATACCCCTCTGTCTGGGGAACTTGAAAGTCTGTTTACTCCTGGCATTTCCCATAGAGGAAGACAGGATTTCCTATGGGGAATCACCCAGACAATGGGCGTAGGTGACCGAGGAAGAACAGAGAACCTAAGCTCATCCAACACACAGATCAGCCAACCCATAATGCTGGAATGTTGCCTTGAAACTCCCTGTAGGAAGAGGCACCCATAGTCCTTTCCAGGATACACAGGTCACCTCTTCCCAACACCCAGGACATGAGAATCCTCACACAACTTTTTCTGAGTCTTTCTCCTGAATCAGGAACTTGACTGGTGACCATAGTGATTAAGGATTGATTTTCATCCCTAGTTGTCATTCAGCTGGTACACTTCCAGCCCTCACATGTATCTCTGTCACCTTCCTGCAAGGAAATCCCACTTTCCAAGAGCACTGAGGACACAGGGCAGACTGGGCTGTGTCACTGTGTCACAGGGACATCTAGACAGGATGGAGGCTCCCTCTTTGATATCGACAGACTTAAGGTCAGGAGTCAGCAGATGTCAGCCTTGGGATGAGCCATTTTTCTCTGAGGGCACAGGGATGTTTATCAGCCTTGTTGCTCAATGTGTTGCTTGGAGGAGAAACATAAAGAGAGAAAAGTTGGAGCAATGCAGGGTAGCACTTAGAGTGGAAGGGACCGAGCAGTGCCTTGGAGACAGACTCACCATCCATAGCCCATTGAATTCTGGGACGTACTCTTGCCTGAGAAAAACTCAGCTCAGAAGGAGGAAGGACAGCAGAGGCCAGGTGCCTTGCAGGAGCTGAAGGTCTTCTCCTCAGAGCAAGGACATGACAATGACAGTGAGAAGACAGATGGAGGTATCCTCTGTGCTTCCCTGCAAGGGGTGTACCCCCTGGCAGGGGCTCCTGCTCACAGGTAAGAGTGCCTACTCCATGATTGTGTGCGGGAGGGGAACTCAGAGAAAGGGTGGAGTTTCCTGAAAAGAGAGGAGCCCAAGAGGAGACTCGGGGCTTTTGTTTGTACTCATAGGGCAGAAGGTGCACTGAGGGCTTGGGTTTAGCAGGCTGATGCTCTCATTGGACAGGAGCAGATGAGGGAAGAGAAAATCCCCAGTGTTCCTTACAATGAGAAAGTCAGTCTCATTGGCTGCTCTGGTGTGAGTCACTTGTATTTGACTCCAAACAGAAGTTAAACAAATAGCAAGATGGCTCAGTGTGGAGAGACACGACAATCTCAATTCAGTCCTCAGTTCCAGCATGGTAGACGGGGAGAAGGGACTCCTTCAGGGTCTTCTCTGCCCTCCACACCCATGTTGTGGTTGCATTGGGACATGAAAACACTGAGACATTTGCCTTCACACTTGTGCTGTGGCACGTACCCACACAAGCTCATGCTGAGACATATGCCTTCACGAACCCAAACATACAATACAGAAGTAAATGTAAAAAAAAATTACATTATCCTTGAATATAACTATTGTTGTTAGCTACAAACCTGGGAACTATGTAGATTAACCCATGGAGACATCCATTTATCCATCCATCCATCCATCCATCCATCCATCTGTCCATCCATCCATCCATCCATCCATCCTTCCTTCCTTCTTCCCTTTCTTCCCTCCTTCCCTCCCTCACTCTTCCCTCTCTCCTTCCTTCCTTCCTTCCTTCCTTCCTTCCTTCCTTCCTTCCTTCCTTCCTTCCTCATCTCCTTCCTCTATTGATGTCTAAGACTTTCCCAGGAACTGAGTCTTCCTAATGTCAGATTATTTCCTGTCCTCCCAAAGCCCTGACTCTAGTGGGCCAGAAGTCAGAGTATCTGGAAGATGACATCGTGGGTTGACTGGTGTTACAAAGGGATCAGAGAACAAAAATTCACTAAGTGAGGGTTTTCTGGAGGAGGAGGTCAGCCAGACATCCTCACACCAAATATTCAGCTCAGGGGTGAGCCAGGCAGACAACTGAACAGAGAACTGCATAGAGAGAGTTGACGACACAGTGAGAGTCTCTCCGGGAATGGAGGTCATGTTGCTCACCTTCATCAAGGAGGGTAGGTACACCCCTTCCCACACCCCTAAGCTGAGTGCTGATCTCTATAGAGGGATGTGTTGATTTCTTAATTGGTTCTTGATTGTGTCAATAAAGGAGACAGAAGCCAATTGCTGAAATAGGTTAGCTAAGAGCCCAGCAATTGTGCTATCTGGCTAGTTTTAAAATATTAAAACTGTCCAGTGTTTTCCATCTGCAGAGTAAAGGTGGGCAGAAGAGTGCAGCCAGGGAAGTTGTTGGAGGCTTGACAAAGCTAGTTTAGAGGGCCTGGGGGAGCAATCGTAGTTCCTGGTCAGGGAACCAGCTGACTGTTGGTAGAGCTGTTGAGAATGAGACCAGTGACAGCCTAGCTGGGAGTGTGAGCAGAGCTCCGGGGAAGGCAGAAGCGTGATCTAAAAAAAAATTCACGTACCAGAATTCACTTGTTCAATACTGATGGTTGCTTTCTCTTCCCTTTTAGCCTCCCTTTTAACCTGCTGGCTCCTGCCCGCCACTGCCCAGGTCACCATTGAATCGGTGCCACCCAATGCAGTTCAAGGAGAAAATGTCCTTCTTTTTGTCAACAATCTGCCAGAGGATATTATAGCCTTAGCCTGGTACAGAGGGCTGAAGAAAATTGTCATATACATACTGAACACTAACGTAAGTGTGACAGGGTCCATGTACAGCGGTAGAGAGATAACGTCCAGCAACGGGTCCCTGTGGATCCACAATGTCACCCAGAAGGACACAGGAGTCTACACCTTGCGAACTGTAAATAGACGTGGAGAAATTGTATCAACAACATCCATGTATCTCTACGTGCACAGTAAGTGATACTTTGTGAACTTTGGGTGCTGGGTGGGGTTCATCCCAGTAGATACACACAGGAGTGTCAGGCCTACCTACCCTTTGCATTGTGTCCTCATGTTGGGGTGTGAACATTTAGTGCAGGACACACGTGGGGAATAATGGCAATTGAGCAGAATCCTTCATCTCCTTGCAGCCAACTGGATGTGTGGTTGATACATCCATGAAGGACAGCACTGCTTGTCTAAACTTCTGGGGTTCTTAGCAGTAATGTGTCCTTGTGAAAGACCTTGAGGGAGGAAGATTGGGTCTGAATGTGGAAGCCATAGGATCCTTGTGGAAGTGTGCACCAGGAAGCCCCGGCTCCAGACCTCTGTCCTCACTCATCTCCTGATGGCCCTCAGAAACATTTTTAAAAGGCTGTATTTTGACTTTCTGTTGGGAGGGAACAGAGGCTTTGTGAAACAAATTTTTGTGCCATGTGTAATCAGCCAGTGTACTGCCATGAGAGCCACACTTAGGTGAGGTCTCCTGGGCATCTCCAGTGAATCATCAGGGAGAGCATAGAAGGACAGGTGCCCAGGCTTCTAACTAACTGTCCTGATGGACTTATGAGACTTCCATGAAGGTCATGGTTGCCAAGGAGAGGGACAGAGGACACAGGGCCTCCTGACAATTGCTTGACGATTGGAGTCCAGCTTAGGGAAATGACAACAGGCTCTGCTGATGTGGACAGCTCCCCAGATGTAAGCTGCAGTTCTCCCAGGGATCAGGGGGCAGCCTCAAGGAAACACAATTAACACTCTGAAGAGGATTTGCCTGAGCCAAGACTTACCTCCTATCCTGGCTTCCTCTTCTGTTCCTACAGACCTGGGGGGTCATACAGCCTTCTCAGGCCCATTAGCTGCTTCCTGTATCTGCTGCCCTGCTAGGCAACCATGTTTAGTTGCAGCTTTATGTATTTTCTTTGGAAAAGATAGAGTATCCTAAGGGAATCACGTAGACAGAGGTTCAAGGCATCTCAGAAAGGCCAGGGAGCACATGGACAGATTGACCACCCAGCTCCGCAGGCAGAGGAAGTGTGTGCCCCATTTGAAACCCTGCATGGGATGATGGAGCCCAGAGCTTCCAAGACTCAGGTCACCTCCTCCCACACACTCAGGCTGGGAGCTCCTGATACGTCTGTCTGCTCCTGGACCTTTCTTCTCCCTCAGAATCCTGTCTGGTGACTGCAGTGAGAATGGAGCTGTCCCCTTCCCCACTCATCATGCAGCTGGTCCCTTTAGATCCCTCACAGACATCTGTCACCTTCCTCCCGAGAGCAAATTCCATCTTTCCACATCACTGAGAACACAGGGCAGACTGAGTGCTCAGCTGGGTTTCAGTGTCACACAGGGAGTGCAGAGGCTCCCCGTTTGACGCTGATACACAAAGGCCATGGTAGAGTGGTGGTATCCCTTGGGTGAACCGCTGTTCTCTCAGGGAACAGGGATGCTCAGAAGTTTGTTCCTCACTGTGTGCTCTGGAGGACCGAAACAGAAATAGCCAAGGGAAGAGGTGAACAGCTCTGAGAACACAGAGCTGCCCACAGCCCAGGGGACTCTGGGAGGTGCTTCTGTCTGGGAGGAGGCTCAGCTCAGAGGATCCGAGAACTGGGGAGCTGTACTGGAGCAGACGTGTTACAGACTGAGGACGGATCTGGCCACGGAGACCAGGGAGGTGCTCTCTGAACCATCTGTAAAAGATGCACCATCTGTTGGTGCTCCTGCTCACAGATGAGGAGACCACATTTTACAGTGTGCGAGAGGAGAGGACTCACTGTCTAGAGTCTCCTCACGGGGACAGGGACTGGAGAAGTCTATCAGGGTTTGTAGGGGAGAACACACAGCAGTATAGAGGAATGTCATCATCACCATCACCATCATCACCACCATCACCATCACCATCACCACCATCACCATCACCATCATCACCATCACCATCATCACCATCATCATCATCATCATGCTCTTGGCAAATAAGAAGTAGCAGGGGGAGGGGGCGATTGTTCTCACCCACAATTAATCACCATGAGCACATTGTTCTGAAGCCTGAGGTTCTCAGCTGTGATGTCTCAAATAAGAAACCAAGCTGGTGTTGATCAGTGACATAGCTCAGTGGATATAGACAGTTGCTTCATGTCTCATGACCCGAGAACCAATGGACTCTAGTTGTCCCCTGACCTCCACCTAGGGACTGTGCCCTGCACTCACCCACACACCGAGACACGTCCTTGCACATGAGCAGATACACAAATATAATAAGTAAATGCATAAAAACTGTAGCAAATGGGAGCAGTCAACACGGTATTCCCAAACATACGGATTTGTTAGATAAATCCATGGCCATGTATGGTCCCGAGACACCATTCACTCATTCATTCACTCATTCATTCATTCATTCATTCATTCATTCATTCATTCATTCATTCATTCATTCATTCACTCATTCATTCATCCATCCATTCATTCATTCATTCACTCATTCATTCATTCATTCACTCATTCACTCACTCATTCATTCATTCATTCACTCACTCACTCATTCATTCACTCATTCATTCATTCATTCATTCATTCACTCATTCATTCATTCATCCACTCATTCATTCATTCATTCACTCATTCATTCATTCACTTACTCATTCATTCACTCATTCATTCATTCACTCATTCACTCACTCATTCATTCACTCATTCATTCATTCATTCACTCATTCATTCAT